AACAAAACTGCCAAAAAAAAAAAAAAAGTCCATAGACTTACAACGGCAGATCCATAGCCTATCTAAACATCAGAACATCATAGAGATTTGAGGGTTGGCCATTTTTACTGAATCCAGTAAGCAACACCCAGCAACTATATAGAAATGTCCTGACAATCCACACAAAACATAGTATTGTGTTAAAAAGCTTTGGATAGGCAGACACAACAAACATTTTCTTCAGAATCTCAAAATAAAAAAACTTAATATACTGTCTTAATATACTATTTGTCCTCACGGCTCTGCTCCATAACACAATTATTCAGCACAAGAGATTTTTTTATGAAGCAGCTTAAACAAATTGTTACAATCACTTTCAATAAAATGTTAACAAAACACTCAAGAGCAGAGGTTGAAAAATCTCTGTCTGAAGAGGAGTGTATACAAAACTGAACAGTGACTGACAGCAGCAAATGACTGCTCTTTGCGGCATCCTTGCTTTTCCCTCGGTGGTGTGAGGGGAATGAAGACAAGCCGATCAGAGGGGACGCTGCCTGCCACTGGCCCCCCGCCACCCACCCGTTTGCTGTTAAATTACGGGTTTGGGGTGAGACGACTTTCTGCAGAGCAACAACGCTGTTTCTGTAGACCAGCAGTCAACATTTCACATTGAGATGAATGAAGAGGAAAGTTGTCGTCAGCATGACTTGTCAAGTTTTAAAAGGTTTGAGGCAGCACTAGAGGACACACTTGAAAAAGGGCAGGTACTTCAGTGTGAGCTTGCATTACCTTAAGGCCTTTAACAGGTGTCAATCATATCAAACAGTCTTAATGCATCATTTAAGAAAGGTAAAAAATGTAAGGTGCAGCCCAGAATAATTTTAAAGAAATTTTCAGGTGCACTTTAAAAAAGTGTACCTTGGTAGACATGGGTTAGAGTATATCTATCTATATATTTATTCACACACACACACACACACACACACACACGTCTGGTTCACTATCCTTGTGGGGACTCTACATTTGGCGTGATGGTTTTTATACTGTACAAACTGTATTTTCTTTTGCCCTACACCAACCCTACACCTATACCTACCCCTCACAGAAAACTTTCTGCATTTTTACAATCTCAAAAAAAAAAAAACTCATTCTGTATTTATACGCTTCTGTACCCATGGGGACCTCAATTTAGGTCCCCACTGTGACACAAGTCCCCATGAGTTGGTGTGTATTCAGGTTTAAGTCCCCACTAGTATAGAAAAACATGTACTCTGAATTTAAATGTCAAAAAAGTTACACAAGTAACAAGGCAATAGGTAGCAATGTTGCTACATATATGTTCTGTTTTTATAATTATGGAATATTAAAAACTGTCAATATATAATAAATATTTCGAAAATTATTTTCGAAATTAAAAATCTTCAGAAACGTTATCCTATTCCCTATTGCCGTGTGCGTGTCCAAGTTAAGGTAATATCAAGGTACTTTAATATAACTGGTATTTTAGGAGATTTCGTACTGCCCTGACAGTCTTTTGGTTGGAAACTGTGTTTAGGCTGCCTGTAGTACAGAGTCGTTCACAAACTTCACATGCAGGCGTTGAATTTTATCTTCTTTATCGCTGACAGACGATACGAAGTAGGCTATTGGCAAGTTTGGTCAGACTGAAGGTAGATTTCCACTTTATTCAGCGATCTGTTTGTTTCTGTGTTCTAACGTTTCTCTTTAAAATCTTTTATCGAGAATGAATCGCCGCCTCAAATGATTCAGCGCGTGAGCGAGCTGTAGATAATAACGGCGCGAATGATTTATGATTCGAGAATCGAATCAGACCGGGTGACGTCTTCATTGAAAAAAAGACTCAATGAATCACTCTTTTGAGTCAAAAGAGTTTGAACTATTGGTTATATTATTATTTGTTTATATAATACAGTTTAGAAGTCACTATAAAAGTAGGCGCGATTTTTCATGCCCGTTGGAACCAGTAACGTTAGTAAACAAACAACCACTATAGACTCTAGTATAAATACTGAAGATATAAAATATTAATTTTGTCCTAATGTCTTTAAAGCTCGATTTGATCTCTATTTAAAATATTAATATCATGATGTCAAACCATATGTTTGCTTTGAAGAGCATTACCAATTCTATGCACTACGTGCTACTGACCAAGAGATGGCGCTGTTTCTCAGCTGTCAGCTGATTTGAGTTGGAGGTGAGAAGTGTTTATTACACGGTTGAGGAGGTGTCTAATTTCAAACATAGAAGATGCTGTCTAAAATTGTTGACCTTTAAATTGCCTTAAATTTATGCATGAATAAGTGGATGTGAAATGCATGTGAAATAGAATATCATTAAAAGGAGAGAGTGGAGAAATTCTTGATCTTCCCTCCTTCCACATTGCACACGTGCATCCTCAGAGAGTCTTTTCCAGATTATGCAAAAACAGATCTGCCAGAAATGGAGAGGACATGACGTGACATTTCCATTCAGTGATTTTGAGAGAGACCTCTACATAAGACCTGCCTCCCCATAAACCTGTGAAGCAGGCAGATACAAGGCAGTCCCAGCCAGCTCTCTCTCTCTCTCTCTATCTGCAGACAGCAACAGCGTCCTGTGATTTCTCCTGATGCTCAGGACTTCTACTGACTGATCAAACTGTGATCAAATCTCAACTGAGCCCACAACCAACTGACTTATTAGAAAATCTGCAAGTTTATGTCTCCTGGATTCAGGTAAGTAGAGCATGGACACTATAAAAATAAAATTATTTTGCTTAAATGCAGTTTATTTAAAATGTATTTTTCATATCTTTAGTGGACACAACATAAAAATGTAATAAATAATAGAATGAATTTAAACATGAAAAAATTTATTCTAAAATTTTAATTTAACATTTTTATTTGAAAAGAGTACTAAAAATAGTTGCATGCAATATTCCTAGATGGGATATAGTAAGCATTAAACTTCACTTTGTTGTGGACTTTTGGTTATAATTCAGTTGTTAAATGAGTGTTGTCATCTTAAACACGACTCTGTTAAGATGATATTCAAAGACCGCCTGAGGAATGTTTTGCTTTAGTACAGTGTAAGATCCAACTTGAGGTCAGGAATTTGTGTAAATCCCACAACTGAAATATGCTGTCATTCTTGTACACATTTTAAGTTTATAAGTATATAAAAATAACATAAAATACATTTAAACATGATAGTATGAGTAAAATTTAGAGATTTCATTTCTTGGCCTGATATATTTTGTCATTCCTGTGGAAATACACAATTAATTATTGCACATTTTAGGTTTCTAAGTATATAAAATTAACAAAAATACATGAATTATGTATTTAAAAAAGTGATATTTGGAGATTTCACTTCTCAACCGATATATTTCTACAGACGATAATATTTTGAATTTATTTTCTACATTTTCTAATATAAACAGTGTTTGATATTATTTCAGCCCTGCTCTGTTTCATGGAAAACAGAAAACACTGAAGATTTAAGTGAGATTTGTATTTGGGGGGAGTCCTGTGGGTCCTGTAGCTTATTTTACATAATGATTACAAAATTTGTCAAATTTTTAAAAAGGTTTTTATTTAATGAAAAAGTTGCCTTATTAAATGAACTATTATTTATAAGGTTTTTTGGCCTGAAATTGAGGAATTTTGGTCAATATTGATAATTAAACAATATTTTGCTAAATGTGCTTTTGTGCTGAAACCTTGGCTGGTTTAGGCCTGTCATGGATAAATAATGATGACAATAAAACCACCAGTAGGTGGCAGCAAGCCCTTGTTTTGATAAATTATTTATTGAATCGTTCAAATCAAAGACTCCTTCAAAACGGCTGATTCAATTAGAAACGTAACAAGCCTGCTTCCCAATCAGTCTATGGTCCCAATGTGCATAATATCCATCCTAAATTCTATGTGATATTAGTAATTTTACAGAATTTGTTTTGAATTTAACTTGTTACAGAACCGAGTTCTGATTGGCCAATCGCCGTTATTCGTGAATTATCTTAAGTAGATAATTTTAACATTTCATTTGCATGATAAGTTTTACATAATACACATTATTAATCCAAAGGGGATGGTAAGGGGGGATGGTGGTTTTACTGAGCGGATGCTTTTTGTCAGTTTTTTCAACCAGGGGGATGTCATCCCCTCTCAATTCGAGCCCTGCATATAGGCCTAAGACTCTATACGGTACATATTAATACCTTTTAAAAAGGAATCGCCCCAGTTTATATCTTTTTTCTGAGAGTGCATGAAAGTCCTGTTGTAAGCTGACCTGGCTTGTCAAAAATCCATGTTCCTGCAGGTAAAATCTGGGTGGATAATGTCATGTGTGGAGGATCGGAAAACAGCATTGAGAAATGTGTGTCCCGTGGCTGGGGGAACAGTGACTGCACACATCAGGAGGATGCAGGGGTGGTTTGTAAAGATGAGAGACTTCCAGGCTTTGCAGACTCTAACATCATTGAGGTAGATGATTCTTGATTTAAAAAAAACAAAAACATTTTCCATGAAAAGTTTGTGTTAGAATAGTTTGTAAGAGCTTGGTTATAAACACAATGAGGCTGTGAAAGTGGACTAGTGAGGAGATAAGTTTACCTGTGATGTTTAATGTCCCCAAAAACCTCTGCAGTCCTAATTTAGACAATTGTAAGCAACTGCCTTTTTCAAGACAAGTAAAGGCTATAAAAATTACAAGGGTGTATTACTGATGAATTTTCTGTGACAGATTAAAACATGGAAATATCTTGAGCTTGTGTTCACCACATACCTTATTTCAGGCATTTAACCAAAAATCCATAAAAAAAAAAAATTGCTTCAGAATGAAAAAACTGGAAGTGCTAAAATAGTTGTTTCTGGGTTTTGGCCTACAAAAATAAGGCATCCTGGCAGCACTATATTACACCAATAAACCATATTAACGTGGCAATGAAATCTGATTTAACAGAGTCCGCTGTATGTGTAGTGCTGTAATGCTGATTGAGAAGTGCATGTCAAATAACAAAGCTCTCTCAGCCTGCATGCAAGCTTTTTCAGAATCAAAAGCACATTTTACTTGTTTTTATTGATGATGTTGTGTTTTGCCTGTAGTTATTCTCAAAACAATTGTTCCCCTCTTGCTTACAAAAGAAGATAAATATGAAAATGCTTATTGATTATTGTTTTGGATCAATGCTTAAAGATTCAACATACTTGATAAGTTGTCTATCATTGGGGGAAAAACAAAAAATATTTTACATTTAAAATTTGTTTTCTTAGCATTTCTAAGTTATGTTGAGGAGAGGTGGGCTGTTACTTATCAAAGCAAGAGTTTTTGTGTCCTGGATCAATAAACAACCACCTTGCACCACCCAGAACTGTATGACACCTTGTTTAAAATGCATTTACTTTCACAAATTATGCATTGCTTTTATCTCTTCACCTGTTTTATCCTACTTCATTTTTCATCTTCTCTCTCCATTTGACAGCCCCTTTTCCCTCTGAGGTTCTCTCTCTCTTCCTCATCCGCATGCAAAGAATGAAAGTCCACAGTCAATGTCACTCTGCTTTGAATGAAAGTCGTTGCTCTGTTGTAAATTAGTCTCTGATGATCTGCTTGTGTGCTGGAACCACACCAGAGAAAGAGAGACAGATGTAGAGATACGAGACCTTGGAGAATTAGAGACTGAAAAGAAGAGAAGAGAAGGAAGAGCCGAGTACGTGCAGAAGTGCCGCTGCTCAGTTTAAGTGCCAGGTTTCTCTGTGTTCTTGTCCGGAAGGCAGAAGGAACGCAGAGAACATGAGTGGGTGTCAGACGAGCCTCTGGCAAACTCTGCTGTTTGGGTTTCACTACAGATGTGTCAGAGTTTACTGGAATGGTGCAAATGACTGATTTCACATCCAAATTCACAAATGTTTTTCAAAACACAGATTGACAAGAAGAATGAAAGAACTTCACAAAGTAATTATAGTTTCACACTATTTAATTCAAAGAAATGCAGTTTGAAAATGCAATTTTGTTTGAAACTGAATGTCATTTGTTTTGTTTTCTGCTGTTTTTAGATGTCAGTTATCTAACTCAGTGTTTCCCAACCGGGGTGCCGTCTGTTGAGAGCAGGAGTGCCGTGTAAAAAATCATTTTTTTATATTTTTAAATTGCTAAAATGTAAAAAAAAAAAAGCATCTATTATATAATAGCCATTTCTGGTGCCGTGTAAAAAATCCTTTTTTAATATTTTTAAATTGCTAAAATGTTCAAAAAAGCATCTATTATATAATATCCATTTCTGATGTCGCCAATAATTAGAGATGCACCGAAATTTCGGCTGCCGAAAATTAGTTCACCGCTCAGGTTTCACTATCGCGTGGTGTGACGCTCTGCGTATTATCCCGCTCTATGCGTGTGCGCTCAGTCGCTCCACTCCTATACCGTTCATGCTCATCGGATCAGCAAAGTCCACTCAAAAATCGAGCCGACAGGAAACATCGATGTAGGACTAGTACAGTATTGTTCCCTTTCAGTCGGTCACTACGAGTCACGTCGTGACCGACGAATTGGGATATCACTTCGATAGACCAATCTACTTCGAGTGTAAACTAAACGAGCCAATGCACATTGGCATGCAATTATTGCATCCAGCTGCCGCTGATCAC